TGTACTTATATTCTAATATATATATATATATATATAAACCTTATCGTTGCTTATGAGACCTTGTGTCGATACCTTTTAAGATCTGTCAAAAGGGTAGTACGCTGCCTAAGAAAGCTGGACTTAGAAGAGAGGCTAATTTGACTCCTCCGACGATTTGGGATCTTACCTGGTTGTTGACCATAGGACTCATTAGTGACTCTCCCTTGACTGCAACCAATAGTGTAGATTCGGGGCGTCACAAGTATTGTAGGTATACCCGTGGAAAATGTATATATGCTAGACACATCTATCTATCTATCTAGCTATATATTATATAAGCAAAAGTAAGTTTTTGTGAGTAGTTTTGTGAGAACTCCAAAATTTTATAATGAATTTGTGATTTTATCAAATTAAAAAATAAATTTAAATAGTGTTGAGATTACAATTATATTTTAATCCTAATATTATTTACATCGTACCTAAAATAAATTTAAATAGTGTTGAGATTACAATTATATTTTAATCCTAATATTATTTACATCGTACCTTCAGGCACAGGCATACGCTAGTAATCAATAAGACAAAATATCACATCCAATCCATAATCATTTTACATTTTCTTTTATAATTATCAAATCAACTGCACACACACACACACACACACACACACAAAAAAAAACTCAAACACAACCTTTTTAGTCAGATTAAAATAGCTAAAAAGGCAAATAGTCAACTTCTCAAATAAGACCATATTTTATAATACTAAACAAATTAACAATAATAAGTATAACTAAGTTGATTAGAGCTTGTAAATTTTATAATCAAAACAAGCAATATACTGAACGGTTTAGCTCACTATTTCTCAGGCCTATTTTGAGGGCAGCTCAATGGTTCAAATCGTTTAAAATTTAGTGTCTCTTATAAATAGTTTATACATATAAAAAAAAATTAATTAGATATTAATTTTAACATGTTTGAATCACATTTAAAATAAAAAGAATTTTGAATGACTAATGATATCGAGAATAAACCATTTATTTATTTTTAGATAAATATAATGTAATTTTTTATGTAAATGATTTATTTGAGAGGTACTGAAATTTGAACGGTTAGGCTCGCCAAGCCAAACCTCAAATTGGCTCTAGTCTCGATGTAATGGAATTTAGACAAGTCTCTTCCTATTTTTATATTCCGTTACTAAAATATGGCTACGCCTGTCATTCCAGTCCGATTTCCTAGCGGTAGCGGGTCTCTGATCAGATGCACCTCCACCCCATATTCATTCGATGCACTTCACTGATAAGCATATCCACCATAATCAGGGGTACGTATTAGGGGTGGGCGCGGGTCCATTACAGTTACGAAATCTCTAATTTGTCATTTGTCTACCAGATTAACAGATTGGAGAAAATCAATCCGCATCCATCCATCAATTCGGTGAATGTGAATTGAGCGGATTGACGGATAGATGCAAATCGGTTTGACGGTTTAAAATTTTATAAATTTTCAACATAATTTAACTTGTGCATTTCCTCAAAAAAAAAAAAGAGTATTACAGTCAATGACTTTAAAAAGTATTACAATTACTGCATGCCTCATCTAAAGAAAGAAAATTTAAAATTTTAGAATATTACAATCATTGCATGCCTCATCTACATATTACAATCACAATATATCTTATCTACATAAAGTATTACAAAACAAAAAACCAACGAACATATATCATCTTTTTTCTTTATTATTCTTAGAGTTAGATTTAAAAACCAAAATATTGATAAATAATATATTTATTTTTTTTAATTCAAAAAATATATTCAAGTCGAAAACTCTTTTTCAATAGAATATTTAAATTTTTTTTCAATTGAAAACACAAATAAAATATTTAAACAAATTGAAAACACAAAATTTTACAAATTATTAGGGGTGCTCGCGGTTTGGCGATTCGGTTGCGGTTAAAGAAACTTCAAATCCGCCATCCGTCCAAAACTAGGCAGATTGAAAAAAATTAATCTGTAACCGTCCGCTCGTCATCGTCCAAAATAAGCGAATCGAGTCGGTTCGATAAGTTTGGACGGGTCGGTATATCCACTGCTTACCCTTTCGTACATATACACACTGACACACATAAAGTAATGTTAAAAATTCTAAAAAAATATTTAATTTTTTATCAAATATCTCGTATAAGTGTATGATTCACATAGGACTTATATGATGTGAGTCCTATATTATAAGATATTTGATAAAAAAAAATTGATAAATTTTTTAAAATGTCTAGTATTTTTTAAAATATAATTTATCAAAATTTGCACGATTTTCATAGATTACTTTTGGAGGAACTGGGCAGGCAACCAATGACGTTGTTTATTGATGGGATGGATTTCTGTCTGTTTCGATCTTTTAGATTGGTGGTTGTCTTTAGGGATGGCAATGGGGCGGGGCGGGGCGGGGCCGGGGATGGGACCACACTCCCCGTCCCCGATCCCCGAAAGCGATAAATATATATATATATACTTTTATATCCAATTCATTCAAGAGAATAACGTAATTCCCACATTTCGAGCAATCTCAACAATTTAGTCAATTCAAGACTAAATCAACATTTTGACAACAATTTCCAAAATAAAAAAAAAAAAAAAAAAAAAAAAAAAAAAAATTTGTCATATATATATATATATATATATATAACAATCATAAAAAAAAATTATATACATATAACAATCATCAAAAATCATAGATATATACATACACACAACAATCAGATCTATTCTTCTTGTTCAGATCTGTTCTTCTTGTTCAGATCTGTTCTTCTTCATGAATCACGATCTGACGGACGCAGGGCTTCACGGACGGAGGGAAAGGGAGAGGGTTCACGATCTGACGGAAAGCTTCACGATCTGATGGACGGAGGGCTTCACCGTAAAGCCTTCACGGACGGAGGGATCTGACGATGGAACGCTTCACGGACGGAGGGAGATGGAGAGGGAGAGGGGGAGAGGGAGAGGAGAGGGAGGGAGAGAGATGAGACTGAGTCTGAGATTTGAGGGAGAGAGAGATGAGGGCCACGGTCGGTGAGAGAGAGAGACACAGAGGAAATGAGAGGAAATGAGATCATCTGAGAGAGTTGAGAACAAAAGTACATTTTAGGTCTGGGTTTTATATATATATATAGGGGTGAAATTGTAATTTTGATTCGGGGAACAAACCGGGGCGGGGGACGGGGCGGGGCCGGGCCGGGTACGGGGCTTGGACAGTTATCCCCGTCCCCGGCCCGAAATTGATCGGGGAGTGATTTTTTAATACCATCCCCGTTCCCGCGGGGATATTTTTCGGGGAAAAACCACTTATTTCGGGGTCGGGGGATCAGGTACCCGTCGGGCCGGGTTTAAATTGCCATCTCTAGTTGTCTTTGGATTCGTGGAATTCATTAGAACTGTTCATTTGTCGAGCTTTGTTGGTATATTATTTCAAAAAAATAAATTAAATTAAATTGATTCAATATTTATAATCAATTCATTTTATCGTATTTGTTATTAAAAAAAATTAATAATCTATTTTTTAAAATACATTTTGTGTTAATTTTTTTTTGAAAATAAACAAAATAAAATAAAGGAGTTACGAAAATTGGATCTATTTTGAAAAATGATATACATTTCGCATTTTCTAAACTTATTTTTTAGACTTAATGATGTGTAAGTGATATGATTGGTTAGTGATTAGAAAAGATAGAGCAAATAAAGTTACTATACATATTTTAATTGATTGCTACATCATTAGGTTTGAAAAGTTGGTCTATTTTTTAGATTTGAATAGCAATGTTCTATTTTTTTATTTTTAATTTTTTTTTTATGGATGATATACATGCAGAGTCTGATAAAATGAATGACTCAGATCATCAAAATAGACCAATGATGGACCCCATGAGACTGAACAACACTCTCCAATCCAAATCTAGACTAAGGGTTGGTTTGGGGTGCCATAAAAAAGTGTACATTTTGTCTTTTTACGAAAAGATGTGCAAAAATGTAAAGAGGTGATGTGATGGAAAAAAGATAAAAAGATGGATTATATAATAGATGCCAAACCAATCCTAAAGGAAGCCCAATCTTTTGTTTATTGTATTGTCATTTGATTTGTTGGAATGTATATTAATAATTTAAAGGACACTCAAGTTATAAGTACATTTCTTAATCTTTTAAGTTATTAGGCCCAAGCTTAAATTCCTGTGGGTCAAAAGGATATAATTTGCCTTAAAAAAAAAAAATTTAAAATCAACCTATCTGTCGATCTGTTGAAATCACACTATCTCTTGAAATTGCCCAATGTGTCTCTTTGTTAAAATTTACTAAATTTATTTTTTTTATCTGTTGAAATTCACCAAGTTTATTTTTTTATTTCTTACATTCTAATATCTTACTTTTTTTCTAAAAAATCCACATCAGCAATTGGACAAACCTACCAATCCAATTTCAATTATGCTAACTTTATCAATTTTATATAGACTCTATTTGCTGTTTGAGTTTTATATGAAATCTAATTACAAATCTTCAATTCATTCTAATATCTTACTTTTTTTAAAAAAATCCACATCAGCAACTGGACAAACCTACCAATCCAATTTCAATTATGCTAACTTTATCAATTTTATATAGACTCTATTTGCTGTTTGAGTTTTATATGAAATCTAATTACAAATCTTCAATTCTAAAAAAGATTACAAATCTATAAATCCTATATAGATTATACTTTAATTGTACAAAATTTTCCTTGTTCTATACAATCACGACTCACACAACAACACTAACCTTTGAAATTTGAATTTGCTACTTGGATTACTTCTTCAATTGTTGGATGGTAAATTGTTGAAGTGTCGTTTCTGATATGCTGTTCCAATATTTCTGATGATTTGGCCTTTTTACTTTGTTTTTTTTTTTTTAATTACGTATTTTTGGAGTATTTAATTATAGAGATGAATTGGAGATTTGTTTTTTTTTTGTTTGAATGAGATGAATTGAAGATCAGAGCGAGCATGGTGATGATAGATAACAACATTATTTCGATTGTTTGATGAAAGGATAAAACACCTCCTACTCATTCTGATTGCCTGCTCTATGTCTCTCTATCCGTTTGGGAAGTGGGTTGGCTTTTTGGCTTTTTGGCTTTTTTGGCTATTTTAGCCTGGGCTAAAAAGCTTGGTTTGGGAAGGGCTTTTTGGCTTTTTGGCTTTTTTAATATACCCTTATACTGGATTAATGCTAAAATCTAATAAGTCAAACAATTATACTTAATCTAAATTACCTATAAAATTAATACTTTACAAATTAATTTTCTTCTATTAAATATTAAAGATATTTTTTTATTTTTTCGCCTACCTTATTAATATTGATTTTCTTATTTAATATGAAATTGTATATATTTTTTAACATAACATGAAATTCTTTATTACGAAATATTTATATTTAATTTAAATTTTATATACATATATACAATACGTATGAATAATTCAAAATTAAAAAAATAAATACTCTACATAATTAATCTATGTATTTTCTTCTTAATCCAACCATAAATGTTTATATTTAATTTTTTAAATAAATTAAGTAATCATTTTTAGTTTTATGTTACTAATTCTCCTTCCAACTTAACTATTTTTAATATCAAAATGAGTGTTTATTTTTCTATCTTATAATTTAATATATATCATATAAAATTATTATATAATAACTACAGTTTTATAGCACAATAGAACTGAAATTTTGAAAATACATCAATAATTTAATTAAAATTATTATATATAAGTATTCAAGTAACATTTTTATAAAACGATAGGGCTAAGATTATTAAGACAAATAATTAGATTAGAATCACAATTTTATTTTAAATTAAAATTAAAATTATTCTTTTGTAATACATATATCATAACATAAAATATTATTTAAAAATATATATATTAGCAACGACTAGTTACCTATATATTGAAATGTGACACATATCACTCATTCAACACCTTATTTGTTAAATATCACATATTTCTCTACGTTACTACCACCATTTGCTGTTGACGCTCACGGATGACTTTTTCGACGCCGGCAAAATTTTCCAGTGACTTTTTTTGACATGTCATTATTACCAAATTAGATTTTATCTTGGATTTAATGTTGTATACCCTCTTTAAATTGGACTTTTCACCTATTTTTTTCAATGTAAAAAAATTTAAAGTACGATATCAATTTGTATCGATAAAAAAATAAGATGAACACATACATTAAAAAAAATGTTGCTTAAAATAAAAGATAGTAATAACTAAAATGAGACATTTTTAGTTGTGCACACTCTCTTTCATGTAACGAAAAGCATCCGTGATACAGTTGACATTAAAATTATGAACAAATGTATTTTTCAATGAATGTGTTATTTTCTTCATATTCTTCTCTTCTCTACAAGTTAAGGTTGGTAATCAACACTAGTTATGAAAAATTAAATTTTTTTTGGTTATATTTTATTCAAACCTTTTAATTTTATACTTTGATTCCAATGTTTCATAGATATCGAGCAACAGCTAGCTAAGATTTTTTAAAATTTTAGAACGGACAATCACCTAATTTTATTTTATTTTATTTTAAAAAATAGAGGGGCGTTCATGTATAATTTGGAGATAATTAACAACTAATACCCCTATAATTTTTTATTTATTTTTGTTAAATCCCCTCTTTCACCATTTAAGTCCATCCTTGCATCAGAACACAAGACGCTTGGTTTGTGAATATAAGGTTTTTGGGCACCTTCTCCTTACAAGCAGGTTTTCAAAGGTGATTTCTACTCAAGGGGTTTGCATTGTTTGGCACCTATGTGAGTATGAGGTCGGATGTGCTGCTTTGTGCTAAGCCATGGACGGGGCAATTTATAGGCTTAACTAAGGTATATAGGGCTGGTTTGACAAGTCCAAAATAATTCAAAAAGTCAAAAAGTTGCATAAAAAGCAAAAAATGCATTACTATTTACAAATAAAAAATATTAAAAAAATATTTTATATATTTTTATAATACAAATCGACTGAGCAACGTGACAGCCGTACTTATGATAGTGTTGAACAGTGATAGGTGAGTGAAGCTACCAAAAGAGAGAGGGCTACCATTAGGTCAGTATCGATAGAGAGCTATCATAAAGTCAGTGTTAATATGAAATATATATATATATATTTTGTTTTGTTTTAACTACTTACTGTAGCCATTTTGCCTACACAATTAATGGGCAATTAGTGTCTAATGAAACTGTTTTCTTGGTTGTTTCTTCAGGTTATACATATTTTTAACTATTTACTTTTGTTCCAAGGTTGGATTATTATTTCCTACCCCTTTTTTGTTCTTGTAATGAAATATGTCTACTACAGTAACAATTATTTTCAAGACAAATATTATCCTTATCCTTGTAACATTTATGTAATTCAAAATGTTTCACACAGAATAAAACTTCAAGTTTGTGGAGCTAAATTCCTAATTTTTTTTGTCATAGGCATCAGAACTTTCCCCTTTCCTTCATGTTGAATTGACAACACCAACAATGGGTAATGGCCTATGGGAGGGTTATTGTTGGATTATGTCAACTTCAAATCCTAGGGATCACATCTAATGCTTGTTTGGATCATAAATTTACATAGAGATTTGAAAATAAAAAAAAGAAAAGAAAAGGTGGGACAATGTGAATGAAATATAAATTAAATTTTTTTCTCAATTTTATTTTTAATTTTTTATTTTCAAATCTCTATCTAAATCCAAACACAACTTAAGTGTCAGTTTGGATTGATTTCACTTATCGTACAACAGTGAGGTTTAAACTTTTAGTTCCCTTTGTTTTTCTATATAAACTCTTGAGGCTAAAATTTACATTGCTTATATGCTGAATGAACATTTTTGGTATGCTTGAAACCAATTTTATGGTTGATGATTTTGATGACTCTGTCAAGATGATCGTGTTAGTGGGTTTAAAAGGCTTAATTAAAGTAACCAATGGCTAAATCACTCATTAATGGTAAGGAACTTTCACGATCCCCATCTTGTCAGCCTCCTTCGGAAAAAGTCAAAAAAATTATTAAAAAAATTAAAAAATGTTTTACTCAAAAAAAAATTAGAAGATTATTCCCATTCATTCCCCCAAAAAATGAGAATGACTCATTCCCATTCATTCTATTTTTTACCCATCTTTTTTGTTTAAATATATATATATATATATATAAACTCATAGTATGAAGACCATCAATTACTTAAATGAAACCAACCACCAAAATGGGCAAATAAAGCATATCTTAAAGGATGTATGCCCTACAAGATTTGAGCGGCAACTGTGATGATAAAGCAAAATAAATTAAATTTGAGTAAAAGTTTGATTTGATATGTTGTGCTCAAATCATTTCATCAAATTTATCCAGTCTTTCAGCTTAGAGTAAATTTTTAGCAAAACTTTTTCAAACCGATCAACCACTCAGTTGATTGGTCGGTCATCCACCCGATCGTCCATCAACGGTTGCCAGCAAAATTTTATAAAAGGTTAAGCGTTCCATTAATTTGATAAAAAATTTGATTTCACCTTCATTTAAATGAGTTTGATGCCATGATTGAAAAATGAAAAAAGAATCTATTTCATCAAATTTAGATTTAAGAAAATATCTAAGTAAGCGTTGGCGACACTCTATAAGTAAGCGTTCGAGACACTCTTAGTACATCACTCTAGGATAAACTTTGTCTCTTATCAAATCAATTCAATCACAAGGTTAATTGATAATATTATTCGCATATATATATCATATTCAACATTTCAGCTTAACTTCTATTTATTAAATTTGATCTATTTTGAGAAGTAGGTTAAAGAGTAATTTTTTATGATTATTTTTTAAAAAAACGTTCAGAAAATTAAAGAGGTAATGTAATCTAAAAAAATAAGACTATTAATAGAGAGCTTTGAAATTAAAGTTCTAATATGAGTTCTAGTGATATGACAAAAATAATATAAAATACACAAGCTAAAATATCACATTACCATATAGGACTCACTATTAGAACTCTATTAGAATTCCCAAACATTATTAAAAAAAATAAAAAACTAGTAAATTAACTTTTAACCTACTTGCTAAAATAGACCATTGTAATTGTAGGAAAATGTCTCGTAACTCAAATTTTGTGGCTCAAAAGTGGCTCAAATGGCCAAAACGACGTCATTTTGGCCATTTTTATGTTGTTCTGTACTCAAAACGACGTCGTTTTGACCATTTGAGTCACTTTTGAGCTACAAAATTTGAGTTACGTAGCATTGTCGGTAATTGTAATCTATACTTTATATTGGGACTTGTTTGTATTTTGTAGATTTGGATGGTTCATTCCACTTCTACTAAAAAAAAAAAAAAATGGCATATTCGTTGGGAAACAAATGGAGCATATGAGGTCGAGGAACATCGACAAGTTGCGATACCTTTGAAGACACGTTGTCGGGTACATAATAACCTGCGTTTGGTTGTGTTTTGTAATTATGATTTAAGAGTGTGAGTTGTATTTTGAGTTTGTGGGATTTAAAATTATGATTTGAGTGTAGAAAATTTATCGGGTACATAATAGACGATATATTATAATTTTAGAAGATTTTGATCTTTATAATTTGTATAATGGGTAAGGTCTAATTTTAAAATGATAATGTCATAATATATATTGATACGTTAATTGGTATATATCAATTGATGTATGTAGCATCATTATTTAAATTATGATGTAATAGACTATTATTTTTAATTTTTTACTACTTATTTATTTATTTATTTATTTATTTTTATGTATTGTATAATTAAGGGTTAATTACACGTTTCACTCCTATAATTTGATTCAAATTTAATTTTAATCCTTATAATTTTAAATAATTTTGTTCTTACACTTTAAATTTAGTTTCAATTTAATGTTTTCGTCTAAATTTTTATTAATTTTGTTTATGTGTACACTTTAGAAAATTAACAAGTGCTCTAAAATTATTAATTTTAAACTTTAGTTTGGGCAGTAGAAAATTGAAACATTTAAAAATTGGTAAGTATTTCAAAATTGTTAATTATAAGGGCAAATTAC